GTATTTCTCTTCCTTTTAAAACCTCGTTCTTATACTTCCTTCATTAAGCCAGTTGAAGCTCTGTAAAGATTGCCATATGATCAGGTTTTTATGGTCCTACATGGCTTTTTCTCCCATGTCAACTGTTCTTAGTGTGTTTCTAAGATCCATATGTTTCTTCTTATGTGCCACACCATCATGGAATATCAATAAGAGATCTTCACCTAGTGTCTTGTTCCCACAGAAAGTAAGCATAATTTTTAATACTTTCTTATTTTTTGAACAATAGAATGTATGAGTAGTAGAAAAAAATATTGCAAAATAAGACATAGCTACTACATTAGGCTTCTCCGGAACATGGCTCACACGTTTGTAGGCCCTGGCAAGTTTGAAATTGATAAAGCAGTCTGGTAGGCTGGAGATTTAGTTGAGTGTTAATGCTGCAGCTTAGAAGCAAAATTTCATCTTGCCCAGGGAACCTCAATTTTTGCTCTTACAGTTTTTCAGTTGATTAAATGAGGCCCATACACATGTATTGAGAATACACCCTTTTACATATAGTCGATTAACTATAAATAGTAATCATATCTATAAAACACTTCCACATCTGCACCTAGAGCAGCTCTCGATTAAATAACCAGTTAGCCAAGTTGACTCACAAAATTAATCATTAAACCTATCACATTAGAGCTAAAAATATTTCTACATGTAATGTCAGAGTTCTCACAAAGCATTATTAGGAAAGATAGAAAGGAAAAGAGACTGTCGTCTCTTGTGCAATATCAGTCTGCTTGTGTTAGATGAGAACTCCAGCCTGTGAACCCTTGAACAGCCCTAGAGTCTCTTCTTTCTCCACTGTTTTTCCCCAGGTTCACTAGTTCTGAAGAGACACTTTCACGTGGTTGAGAGTGTTAGTGATCCAAGCGGTACTAGTTTTGATGTTAACAGTAGAATAACGACCAAAAGTAAAACAACTCTTAGTTCCTCAAATTAATGGAAACCGAGCTTTCTCATTCACCAAACACGGTCTAGTTCGAATGCCTGAAAAGACTGTAAGAAAGTACTGATTTATTTTCAGATTTTTATGGAAATCAGATCAATTGTGGTAGACATGCCAATGTTAGCATGGTCACATGAGACATGCTGGACTTCTGAAAAATAACACAGTTTTATGTCTGAATTAAGTATCCCAACAGGAGAAATGTCAGACTAGCATAAATGCCAAGTTATTTTTGGCTTAGATAAAATAAAAGACAAAATAAAGTATATTTAATTGAAAGAATATCTTGGTAACACAACTTTTTTAAAGTGATATCACTTTTTTTTTTCATAGATAGTGGTTGCTATGTTTCGCTCAGACCATGTATGAACTAATTGTGTCAGTTCTAAAATAGTAGTAGATGTAAAAGAAATAAAATCGGAAGGGAATCCAATTTGTGCAGTTTAAGACTTTATTCTGTCATTAATCACTTTTATCTCAAATATTCAGATCAAGGCTTTTGTTTTTAATGTGCTTAAAAGTAAGAACAAGATGCTACTGTACCTGTTTCTGAACAAGAGTTTAATAAAGCAAGCTGGTTCTGTGCTTCTGCACAAAATATCATGCTGTCAAAGTGAACTCATCATGTTTTTAAAAATAATTTTTTTTGAGGAGGGTACCAGGGATTGAACTCGGGTGCTTGCACTTGCAAGGCAGGCCACCGAACCGCTGAGCTAAATCCCCGGCCCCAAAATAAAAATCTTATTATTAAAACTAACAGGCTTATCTCTCAAAATTGTTGCTAATAATATCTAAGGATCAAGCACAGCACTTGGGAGAAGTCACTGCTACTGGAACTCAACCTCTTACCCTCCGGGTAGCTCAGTTCTCAGCTCCTCCGTGTCTGGATGATGAGCGACTGCCTTCCCTATGTCAGCAGATTCAATCACTTGGTTGTTTTACATACTTATGTAGGAATTTACCTAATATTTATCTTCAAACTTATTCTTGGCACCCAATGAGAAATCAATGAACTAAGGAGGGTTTTCGAAGAGTTAATGCTTAAACATACACAACGTAGTTTAGGTAATGTGTAATACAATGGTTACCCAATTTTGATTTTTTAAATTTTTAAAAATTAATGTATTGGCACATTTTAGGTATACAATAGAATGACATTCATCATGGGAAATTAGCACCTTTACATAATATATCTTGATTCTTATTTTTTTCCCCATTCCCCTGCCCTCCTCTCAACCCCTCCACCCCTATTTACAAAGACTTTGTCTCCATTTTTTTTCCTTTTCTCATATTAATTCCACTCCTTTATTCCTTTCCCCAACCCCCACCCTTTCCCCTCCCCCTTTGGACCTTTTCTTCCTATCTCACATTATCTATTATGCCTTTTGATCCTTGTTTACGCTTCAGTTTCTCACACCAGAGAAACTATTTGGTATTTACACTTCTGTCCTACTTACATCACTTCGGTTTCAACTTGCCAAAGACTAGACCTATATCTCTTACCACGCACTAAACTAAAATCAAAATGGATTAAAGAGCTAAACATTAAAACAGAAACACTAAAACAGCTAGAAGAGAGGTTAGGTAGAACTGTTGAAGACACTGGCATAGGATAAGATTTCATGAACAAAAAACTTCAGTCACACGTGAACTAGCATGAAGAATCAACAAGTGGGATCTCTTCTTCTTAAAAATCTTCTGCACAGCAAGAGAAGGAAGCGATAGCATGAAGAGATAGCCCACAATGTGGGGGGAAAACTTTTACCAGCTGTTCCTCAGACAAAGGTCTCCTATCTAGAATATATAAAGAATTTTAAAAATTCAAACCTCCCAAATTTAAAGACCCAATCCAAAAATGGGCATCTAAAATGTACAGACATTTGTCAGACGTAGAGATATAGCAAATAAACATATGAAAAAATATTCAACATCACCGGTCATTCAAGACATGCAAATGAAAACAACATTGAGATTATACTTCACCCCAGAAAGAATGGCTGCTGTCAAAAATCAGCCAATAACAAATGCTGGAGGGCCTGTGGGGAAAAAGGAACCCTTCTCCATTGTTGGTGGGAGTGTAGACTGGTGGTTTCTGTGGAAATCAATATGGAGATACCTCAGAGAACTAGGATTACAGGTCCCATTTGACCCAGCCATCCCTCTGCTGGGTATCTTCCTCCAAAAATTAAAAGAATCATACCACAGTGATATATGTGCACCCATGTTTATAGAGGCACAGTTTGTAATAGCTAAAACTTGGAAACAGCCCGAGAGCTCTTAT